ATAAAAATATCTAAACAGACGCTCAAAAAATTTCCAACAATGGTTTTTCCGAGGACGATAACTTTTTGGTAAAAAATTGGTGAGAAGCCGCTAATCCAAGGAAGCCGCTAATCCCACTACCCGGTAATCGCAAGCTTAACAATATTTGGGGGATTAAAATTTTCGGAGGGGGAAATAATGCAAAAAATTGCTAAAACTTATAAGAAGTTTCAAAAAGCCGTTTTAAATATGGCTTTAGTGATACATATCTAGAAAATATACGTGTTTCTCAAAATTTCAAGACAATCTGTCTACACATTGGCCTTGTCCTGATAAAGATTTAAAAAAAAACTATATCTTGCCTTGCCTTGCGCTGCCCTGACTTTCATTGCTCTGCTCTGTTTTGATTTGGACTGCCCTTGCCTACCTCTCGCCTTGCGCATTCGCAAAAACAAGCGACAAATCCAAAAATTGGATCTGAAAAGTGAACTAAGGTAAAAAAAAGCAAAAAGAAGCTTTGAAAATAAAAATCAACGCCATACTCCGGAATCGGTCTCTCAACCTGTAGATTAAGTGTCTCAGGTACCCGCATCTGCGGTATGTGCACTTGGTTTTTTAGAAACACCAGCCACCAATAAAGCAGATAAACACACGCGATTACTAAAGCTATGCGGCAGAAAAAAGCCAAAACAAATGAGCATTTTTGCGTTTTTATTAGCCAGTTGCTTTGAAAAAAAAGCTAGCTTAAGTCGTACTACTGTAAAAACACTGAAAAAACAAAAGAAAACAATTTAATTTAGGCGTAACGAATTAAAGCTCAGTGAAAGGTCTTTCATTTTCCAAAATTTAGGAGTTTCTTTTTGCAAAATTTACTCTTTTTTGATTGATTGAAAAGTAAAAAAAATGTTCCCGAAACCAAATGAACTTCATTTCGCTTAAAATGGAATCCCAAAACTATACTCTTGGCCAACACTGTAATAAAAACCTTCGACGGAAGCGAAGCGGAACTTTCCGACACTTGCGAGAAAAAAAATTTGACTGAAAAAATATAGTCGGTTCAACTGACAATCAACCAATCTATAAATTAATTTTTGATTTACATACAAACAGATGAAGTGGCAATATTCATGAACTTCATTTTGTGTAAGAGCCGCGAAAAACTTGAAAATGAAAATAAGATTTTCAAAAAGAAAACAATCTATAAAAATGAGGCAGATTTTTGCTGTTTTTCCTGTAAAAATTATGGTGCACATCATCCACACGCACTACTAACTATTTTAAATTTGATAATCACGAAGCAGATAAAACAACGGTTGTACACAACAGCTACAAAAACTGTAAAAAGAATTTGAAGAAAGCTGCAGAAAAGGCAGAGGACAAGAACCAAAAAACTTCAGGATCAACCGAAAAGTTAATTAGATTGTGTAAGCTAAACGCAGACAATTATGTGCAAAATTGCTGTGCAGTGTTTTCAAAAAAATGTTACTACACAGAGGCGAAGCGGAAACACAGACATAAAAAAAAGTCGAAAAAAATTTAAATATTGATAAAAACTAAGGGAAACTAATTTTTAGTTCATCTATAAAAAATTAACAGCTCAGTTAAAGCTGGAGATACATGTTTGATACTGAATGAATTTGCTATACTGATGCGGCAAGAAAAATTAAGTTTCAAAAATCGGATTTGCCCGAAGCCTTAGCTGTTTCTCTTCTAAAGTCAGAGAGAAAAGTAGAAAATTTTGTGATAATCAATTTTTTCATGGAGATAACATTTTACAGAAACATTTTGTAGAAAAAATTGAAGACTCCCCGCTATTGCAGGAACAACTATCGCAACCAGTTCTATCAATTGAACTTTCCATTTCAGATTTGATTGTGCAAACTTTAGGAAAATCAAAAAGTTTCCAAAAAACGGTCTAAGTTCTAAAAACGGTCAAAAGACTTTCCAACACCCATATATTTTTCCGACAAAAAGCAGGTTGAGGCTGCTTAAGCAGTTAAAATTCCCCAATCCTGGTTTCTCGGTTGAACACCTGAGAGTTGGTACGGTAATTTTAGCGTAAATTGAAAAAAATTCCCAAAAAACTGTCGAAGGTTTGAACTGTTTGTAGACCACAATTTTTTTATTAGGCAATCTGGGGACAGCCAGTAGTATAGATACGCTTTCAAAAACCTATGGTTTCGATTAAAACTATGATATAAATTTTGACTGAATACTTAGCGAGAAAATTCCAAAAAACTGTCAACAAATCAAAAATTTGATATTTCCGAGAACCATAGCTTTTTCGAGTGAAAAAACAGGGCGTAGCCGCTTATGCAGAAGAGATTCATGCAGCCTAAAATTTCGATTGAACCCAAAAACTCAGACTTGAGGGTAGCTCTCAAGAAAAGTCAAAAAATTTTGAAACAAAACGGCCGAAAAATCAAAACTTTGACTTTTCCGAGGGCCATTAACTTTTGGTTTCAGAAAAATGTGGGCAGACTCGTATAAGCAAATGAGCCTTCCGCAACTGTTCTTTCAAAAGAAACCAAATCTCAGATCTGACAGGTTAGTTTTCGATATCAGATTTAAGAGGTTATTTTTCGAGAAAAGTCAAAAAGATTCACAAATCGGTCACAATCAAATATTTGGCTAATCCGAGAGCCATAAACTTGTGTAAGAAATGGGCCGTAGCCACTTATGCAGGGAGCTTTTTAAATTGTTCCATTCAATGAAACGAAAAACTCTAAATTGAGAGGGATAGTTTTCGAGAAAACTTAAAAGTATCAAAAATATTGGTCAAATAATCCCCCACAGACTTTTGCGAAGGCTTGAGGCAAAAGGGTCAGGTAAAGAGAAACTCTAGGGGAGTATGCAGGCACACAAGGGATTAGGCGGTCTTTCAAATGGTTCCCCGTTAGAAAAACTAAATAAAACTTGAAAAAAAATCTATAACAAAAAAATTAACAAAGCGATTGGTAAACATACAACCAACTTGAAAAGTGCAGGGGATTGTTAAAATAGTTTTCCTTGAAACGACCCAAAATCAGTTCATTAATTATTTAGGCCGAAAATTTTTTTAAGCGAAGCAAAAAAAACGGAAGATGTAGTCAAGGTAAGTTAAATTACAAATTTTAGGAGTAAATCAATCACTAAAAGCAACAAAAAAATGGACACAGCTAAAACAAAACGCTTCCTAGATGTAACAATAAGGCTAATAACAGATAGGTCGACAGACAAGTAATTGGTTGACAATTTTATTTGAAACCGAATATTTCCACTTCATAAAAAAACAGGTTCTGGTCAGGTTTAAGCCCAGGACCTTTGCCGTTCCAGGCATATTCGTTACCTCCAGGCTTAATTGGCCGGGAACGCATAGAAGTTTGAATTCACTACGAAACATGATACACGTGACTCTATTAAACAAGTTGAATCACTGGCAAAAAATTGTTAGTTTAAGCCAAAAAAACGCAACTCACCTTCAAAAAATCACTTGATGAAACTTACCTTCGAAAAATTACTGAGCTCTATAAAATGCATCAAACTGAACTGCGAAAAATTAAGTCGAAAAAAATTAATCCGAACGCGACGAAGTCGAAAACATATAGCCAACAAACAGTAGGACAATTCTAAAGAACAAAGAAACCAAAGGATTGCATGAAAAAGTTTCAAATTTTTCAAGTTTCCAGCTCGAACACAAACTATATCGTATCACAGCTTTTCGAATTTCAAGATATAATTTACTGAGCATTCAAGAATAAGGATGAGCATATTTTACTAACGTTTACTGAGCATTCAAGAATTAGACTGTTGACAAAAAAAATAGGACGCACATGTATATTCAGGACGACACAAAACAAATTCTGTTATTTACGTGAAAAAGTCTAGTAACCAGTTGCAACATCCTTGATTATGCAAACATAGCCAAGCGAAGATTGAAAAAGAGTAATGCACGCAATGTAACAAAAAAAACGACACTGACTTTGAAAAAATCTCAACTTTCGATTTTCAACGGAAAAAAAATAGATTCCCTTCAAACTTTTTGAATTTCTAGAAATATTTCTGCTTGGCGCTTTTATGACAACATTAACCCAATTTGAGAAAACTGGAACAACACTTGAAACTTTCATTTTGCTGGGAAATCTGATAATTAATTTCCATTCTCAAAATCAGATGTCGATCAGCAAGACCTATATAAGAGTCTTTAATACGTTCATTACTCTTGAAAATAATAATACATCTTGAAAAATACGATAAAACCAAATTTCAACAAGGATAGCCGGTTACTGGGCAAGTAACACGGAATGTTCCGACCATAGTCTTCAGACAACTACGGTTACGAAAACTTTCTTCCAAATGAATGTTGTTTTTTCTGCTTGGTGATAAAAGGATCTGACGTAAAATTTTTTTTGACATATTAGACAATCATACTAATATGGGCAAATTGGACAAAAATTTTTAAGAAATGACTAGAAAATCTTTTAAAAAATTATTGTTTTTTAAGTTTTTGTTTCCAAAATGAAGCTAAAAAACTCAAAAACTAGTTTTATTTTTTGAAATTAAGTTTCAAGCCCTTAAATTAGGCATTATTCAGCTTGAAAGTCTGCTCGCTTGCTTTATTCGCTCGAATTGAGACAAAAAAATCAAACTTCAAACCGGTTTTTCTCAAAATTAGGTACTTTTTGGAAATTTTTTATTGTGGTTCAAATTACCACTGAACAGGCTTTTATATGGTATATCACTCAACCCAGTCCGATCATTATTTGTGGTAACTGATTTTGCGTGGAGAAACAAAAAGCAAAAAAAACTATAACACCCGAATACAAAGTTCTTACCCATTTTCAATGGTCGGAGCAATTAGAGCGCTGCAGATATTGCGCTGCCCTCAACAAGGCTCGACGAAGATTTCGGTCGCCAACAATGAGTTCATACTGAGTGCCATCTAGAAGGAGTAGTGTGAACAGTACATCTCCAAAACTTTGGTCTGCTTTTGCTTCCTCACCTTTCCATGCCTTACGACGCTTAACTTCAACTTTCAGGTAGTAGAATTTATTAACTGAAACAAACAATTTACAATTAAAGCTTTATACACTGTAGTCTACAGCTATCAATATGCACAAACAAATATACAGGCTTAGATGGAAGTTTCATTTTTCCTGACAAACTGGTTGTTCTCTTTTCTTTTACTCTAACTGGCTTTTGGCGTGGTCTGGCAATAATTCTGGATGGCAGATTGCAGCAAAGTTACTCGCTGTCTTTCGTCGTCCTTCATTCTTCCTATTTCAAATTCTAGAGCTGATACTTGGCTTTGAAGGTTTGTGATTTCGTCGGATTTTTCTGAAACAGTAACAAAGAAATCAAGCGTCAACAAAGGATATTAAAACGAAGACAGATCTAAGTCCCGAGTCCATGGTTTAGATGTTCGAGAAAAAATGCAGGTTTTTTTGTTTTTGATCAAAAAATTGAAAGTTGGCGTTTAAGTTTGCACCAATAATTAGTAATTTGACTGCTTATCGATAACCAAAATCCAATCTCCACTCCCCTTCTGGACCATTAAACTCATTCTGTTTACCTTTCATTTTCTTTTCCAGTGCAGTGTTTTGATGTTTGACTTCTTGATACGACGAATTCTCACTTTCCAGCCTAACAATCTGATTGGCGAACTCAGTCTTAGTCTTCATAACTGCCACATTAACCTCTGTCGCCTTATTCGCCACCTCCTGTGTTAGCTCTTCAATGCGTCTTTTCAGTGACTCATTTTCCAACGTCAGCGTATTAACATTTGACTGCAACTGGTTAGCTAAACTAGTTTGTTGGTTAGCATAACTAACTGCGTCTTCTTTCGACTTATTGGCCAATCTCAGTTTGTCTTCCAGCTGTCGGTATTTCTGCTCTTCTTCTAAACGGACCTTCTGACGGTTTTCGGCCAGCTGGTCTTCGAATGCGACTCTGTCCTGTACTGATTGCGATTTGACTCTGCTCAACTCGTCTTCAGCAACCGTTTTCTGCTGCTCCAACTTTGAAACTCTGAAATTTCAACATCTGAATTAATTTTCAACTATTTTTTTCGCAATTCTTAGGGAAATCAATAATTACCAATACCTTTAAAAATATTTTAAGTATGAAACAGGAATTACAAATTGCAGAATAATTAAATTCATTGTTTCTCATCATGTCAATTGTGAAGTTCGTATCATTTAGTGGGAAAAACGGATAAATTCAGACCAGTTTTTCTCGGCACTGAAATAATTTTATTTTTATTTTTTGGGATTCCAAAACATAGCCAACAGGAAAAAAGTCAATGAGCTCAATTGAACAGAAAAAAAATACCGACTTGTTTTTTTGAAGAAAAAAAACTCAATTTTTGAATTTCAAAGAAAAAAAATAGATGCCCTTAAAGCTTTTTGAATTCTAGAACAATTTATGGTTGAAACTTTTTTTTATTAAAGTAACGCAATTTAAGAAAACTAGATCAAAAGTAATTTTTAGATTCCGCAGGGAAATCTGAATATGAAATTCTACTTTCGAAACTAGATGTCGATCACGTTTTTCGTGACCATTACACTTTTGCTATTCGACAATGGAGTTTGCCTTCCTCTTAAAAAAGGTATTGAACCGAGCTTAAAAAGAAATCAAAATTCAAACCGCGAAAAAGTAAATTTGATCCTGAACAAATTGTAAGACTTTTCCTTTAAAAAACAAAAAAATCACCAGCAAGAAATTCATCGATCGACTCTTAATCAAGACTAATAGGGCTTTAATATGAATATGATACCACACTTGTCACCCCTCCCTCCTACAAGCTATTCTCGAGGTACATAAAGCTGGGCGGAAAAATCAAGCTCATGAAAAGCTCCTTCTCTTGACTGAGGTGAAAAATTACAATCTCATAACAAAGATGAAAAAGATAACACAAAAAGTCAATTGTAATACAAAAAAAAAATCGTGGTTCAAACATTCCAAAATAGCAAAAAGCTTTGCAAAACCATTAGAAACAAATTAACTGTCAGCCAATCAGGAGCATGGGAATATGTCTACATTAATTATTTCCTTATAATTAAACGCTAAATTTACACAGAGGCGAAGCGGACCTCGCATCACTTGCGATACAACAAAAACATGAAAAACGTTTTTTTTAAAAAAATGAAAAATGTTAAGAAAACTGGGTCTACCAAAATTTAAGTTTTCTTTAAAAATTTAAAAATCATAGTCTCGATAAAAGTTCATTTTATAGACATTTGAATATCGAATTAGCCTCAGAAAGAAACTTACAAAGAGAAAACAAAGCCTCAAATCTTTGAGCGGATACAAGTTTTGAGCGGATGTTGCAACTAAACCGACAAAACTTGGGCAGATAAACGAAAGTCGGATAATTACGAAACTCCGACAATACAATTTTACCGAAAAATTTCAATTGCATACATACCGAAAAAACAAGGTCCGGATGAGACCTAAGCCCCTGAAATTTAGGGAGCAAAGAGGACGGCGTTACCTCTAGGCCGAGTGGGAACAAACCTGGAAGTTCTTAACTTTCAACACAGGCGAAGTTGCACAAGAAAAAATATGATCGATAACGCTACTGGGAAAAACTGAATGAGTGAATCTTTAAGTCTACAAAACTTCTTTAGTGACGCACGCCAATTATGATTCTACATAATTGCTGAGTGACGCAAGCCAATTATGATACAATAGCAGTACCAGCCAATTTAAAAAAGAAGAAACTTACCAACTAACGCGCCTCAATTTAAAGAGCGGACGCATTTAAACTAGTATACGAAAAAGGTCATTAAAAATATCCGACCCTGCCCAGGTTCGAAACCTCTTACTTTGTCGCGGGTCTCCTTTCCTACCTCTACGCTACAGATCCATGATACCTTGAAGCTTAAGTGCTATTTGTAATATAATATTATGTGTTAATATCTTTACCATTGGCTGTACTTAATAGCTGGTTATAGATCAAAATGAACACTTTCAAAATGAACACATTTTGTCGCAACAATATTTGCGTCACAACAATTGAGGCTTAGGTTGGAAAAAGAGAGTTCATACTATCACGCAAGATTTGCTTGTGTAATAATAAAGACAGTAAGATTTGTAGAAGTTGTTTACGGGGAAAAATGTGTTCCTGATTACAAGACACTTGCTTTCGTGAGTGTAAAAAAACTTAAATGACAAAACGGTACTTCAGTAAACTAGAATCAAATTATTGAAACAATTATCACAAAAACAACCGATTTGCAGGAAATCTTCAATTGAAGACAAACAAATTACAGTATTGCAACATATACGACAAAATTTGTGCGCACTATAAAAATACATGATAACCATAGAAGAAAATCAGAAGATGCCGGTTATTTAAAAAATGAAAGCCTCAATACTATCAAAAATTCAAACGGAGGTCTGTTACACGCTAGTATGAATGAAACGCTTCAAAAATAGATTAATAAATCTTGTTTGAATTTTTTTGATAGTATTGAGGCTTTCATTTTTTAAATAACCGGCAACAGACCTCCGTGGCTTCGAATTATTAAGAACTCTATAGAAAACTGCACATACAGGAAATAAAATCTGAAATCTTTTGAGTGTACTCTGACAGCACCCGATTACAGGGTTGGAAATTTCATATTTTGTGAAACTTCAAACTTAAGTTTTCATTTTTTTTTTTACAAAAACCATAAAAAATGTCATATCTCAAAAACTACAAAAAATTTGAGCAGTCCAGTTCCACCATATTTTGATTTAAAAAAACCAAACACTTTATAAATTAGTTTTTGATCAAAATATGGTGGGTGAAGACCTGAGACATGCATAAACGTGCGTTTCAGGCGGAGGCAAGATTCACAACCCCTGAAAGTACTTTGACTGCGACTAACTGCAGGGTTCTGAATTTCAACTTTTGAAGAAAAAAAAATTAAATATGTTTTCTGAAAAAATTTTCGAAAAAATCACAAAAAACGTCACATCTTAAAAACTACAAGGACTTGAGCAGTCATATTTCGAGGTAAATAACTTGACGCAAAATTTGCAACTTGGAGCTCCTGAGAGTACACTCACAGTACCCAACAATAAGCTTGGGAGTTTCAAATTTTCAGAATTATTAAAATCTGAAGTTAATGTTTTCTGAAAAAAAATGAAAAAATCATAAAAAACCATATCTCGAAAACCAGAAGAATTTGAGCAGTCATACTTGAACACCACATTTGCAATCTTTTAAGGTACCCTGACGGCAAGCCACTATTCAGTTGAGAATTTCAATTTGGGTTAGTTTTCTTATATCTAAATCTTTTGGGGAAAAATGGAAAAAAATCATAAAACACGTCTATCTCGAGAACTACAAGGTTTTGAGCCTTCATATTTGGAGGCAAGAACTACTACCCTTGAGAGTACTCTGAAAGTACCCAATTGCAGGGTTGAGAAATTCAAATTTTGTGAAATACTTCGTAGTTACGGTTTTCTGAAAAATTTTGAAAAACCACATAAATTGTCGCATCTCGTACACTAAAAGGATTTGGGCATTCATAATTGGAGGTCGAATTCGCAACCCTGGAGAACCCTGATAGCATTCCACTATTATGCTGCTTAATTTAAACTCGGTTAGATAAACACTGAATTCAGCTGGAAAATCGAAGAAAAATCTTAACCATTGCAATAAACGATACAACTTTAAGTGAAAAAATTCTTTCGTTAAACATGCCAAAATAATGCGTTGAAAACGCTTAAACGTGGCGAGATAGTGAAGCCTGCGTTTAAATATATAATAGAGCGAATTTAAAAAAAAATTGGATATGCCATCATCTTCACTTGCTTTAATATGAAATCGGTGAAACCTGACGAAAATTAGGGCCTGATACTAAACATATGAAAACGAGGACGTGTAACTAACCAAAGCCATGCAGCCAAAAAACTGATATCTACTTCAATATTGTTTTTTTAACGTTTTTTGTTGTATTTAAAACATGTAACTAAATACAATGCCCAAAATTGAATTAAAAAAGTTCTCAAAGTTGAAAAAAAATTCCGATTAGCCTATTGAAATGCAAGCCCGAAAAAAATCAATTAACTTCTGAAAACTCAAACTGAGATGCTATAAGACTAGTATGACTAAGGTTAAGATAAACAAGACAATCAATTTTAGACATCTTTGAACAAAATTTTTACAGAAAAACTTGGTACCCGATTGCAATACCCTTGCTTTTCGCAAAGGTAAAAAGTCGGAAGCTTCAAAACATATGCCAAAAACCTGGGCAAATGAAGCCCTGCTTTGCATACGAACCGCCATTGAAAGACGGCAACTAAGCCGAAAAATATGGATTAGAGTACATTGAAGCAGAAAATCGGGTCATTTTTTTCAAACAATAAAATTGCAATAATTCTTTGCAGCAAACACAGTGGGAAAACGTCAAAAAGCACTAAAAAGGCAAAAACAAAGTGAAACAAGAAAAAAATTTAAGGTTTGAAAAAATTTGCCGCAATCGAACCTCCCACCTTGAGTCTCACAAACTATCATGTGAATCGTCACCCATAAAGCCACGATCTCTTAATAATTAACTAACACTATCCATCAACAAAGCAGATCCAAGAGTTTGCCTCAAAAAAGAAATGAAGTGAACTTCAAAAAAATCAAAAGTCAAATCGCGAAAAATCAAATTTTAGCGTGAATCAATTTACTGAGAGAAAAATACTAACAAAATCATCAAGACTACGTTCATTGACTCTTAATAAAAACTAATGTTCCGGACTTGTTTCTCCGACATGTAGACTAGGAGTCTCACGTCCTCTCATCTGCACCACGGTCGCTACTAAGTTTACTAACACTAGCCACCAATGAAGCAACAACAGATGCTATTCAATTGCCAATGGTTTTAAATATACTAAGTGCCACCACATTTTATTTGCTAGTTGCGTTGGAAAAAATTGCTTCGCATTATTACGCTACGCTTTGCATGTTTAAATAAAAGTCGAGACACGAAATAAGAACGATTTTAAAAAGCGTCACCCACGAATTTGTTCAAAACTTTCAGCGCATTCACTTCTACTATATAAAAAACCAAATTTACATTTAAACCGAAAACAAGTTTTGTCTGCTAATTTGTCTCGTCAACCCAATTTCAGAAAAAAGCATTGTCCAATTTCATTCATTTTGTCCGAATAATTTAAATCAGCACTGTATATGTTCAATAATTTATGCTCAAAGACAGGTTGCCAGCTTAAAGTAAATTATTTTGAATTTAAAATCCTGTCGCTATTTACCTGTCTTTGAGGTGTCTGCAGTTCTCTTCGTGTTCCTGCTTCAATTTGAACATCTCCCTCTCTGTACTGTCCTCGCAGTCTCTGATGGCCTCGCGACACTTCTGTTTCTCAACTGACAATTGCTCTAAACAGAAAAACAAGATGTTGACCTATCGACCAAGCGAACATATTTGATATACCAGAAAAATAAAACAGCGTACTCATAATAAGGATGGCTCCTATGTTTAGTTCTTGTTTCTGCGAATTTTAAGGAACGGTACAAAACCGTGCCTGCTCATTTGTCACACACATGTGTCCCGAATTTGTCCGGCTTGGTCTAGTGATTTTTACGGAATTCAACTTACGAGCATAACAAACAAAGAACATAGTCAACAGCCATGCATCGAAAAAGAACTTTAAAAATTGCGTCGAAGATAAGGATAGCTGGTTGGACGTAAAGATCCGGTGGTTGGCGTAAAGTTATTACAAGATATTAGATTAAATATTGATTTCCAGAGACAAACATACCATCAAGTTGTACTGCCTTGATTTTCATTTCTGTCTGCATCTTTGACACGGCGTCATTCGCTTCCCTTAATTGAACCTCCAAATTGTCGTTCTTGCGGTTCAAATCTGCAATCTTTATTTCATAATTTGACATCTCAGCTTTGTTTCTCGTCAACTCTTTCACTAGTCGCTGTTCTTGGTCACTTCGCTCTTCTCGTTCCAGTTGCAGATCAGAGTGAAACCGACTCAAGCTTTCTTTCGACTCTACTTGAGCACGGTCCAACAGTTGTTTATATTCCTCTATTCGCTGATTGGCCAGCGCCAGCTCTGATTCGACCAATCGCAGCTTAGATACAGCTTGAGTATAATGAGTCTTTCGCTCTGCTAAAGCTTCTTGCAATCGCCCAACTTTGTTTGCCAATTCTCCACAGTCTTTTTTGTACTTTGTTTCGCCTTTTTCAACTTTTCCCAGGAGTTGTTTCAACTGCCAATAAAAGCAAAACATTAACATTGTTAACAGATGGTTGGGAAAGTGTAAAAGAACCCAAGAAAACCTACAGAACTTGATTAAAAAATTGTTGAACTTTTTTTAACTTTCGATTTTCAACAGAAAAATTAAATAACGTTTGAGCTCTTTGAACATCAAGAAATTTTTATGATTGACTTTTTCCGTAAATTTATCCTTCTTAGAGAAAACTAGATCAATTGGTAACTTCGCTGGGAATTCAAAAAAACAAAGTTCATTTTTGAAACTAGAACTTGATCACACTTTTTGTGGCCATTAAAACTTTGATGTTCCATAGTGGAGCTTGCTTTCTTTTCAACAGAAAAATGAGCTGAACTTCAAAAGAAATCGTTAGTCAAACCGCGAAAAATCAAAATTGAGCATGAAAAAATTTTAGAACATTTTCCTGATAAAAAAATCAGTAAGACCTAAAGACCTATATAAGAGTCTTGACTACGTTCATTACTCTTGAAAGTAATAATACATCTTGAAAAATACGATAAAACCAAATTTCAACCAGGATAGCCGGTTACTGTGCAAGTAGCACGGAATGTTCCGACCATAGTCTTTAGAAAACTACGGTTACGAAAACTTTTTTTCCAAATTAGTGTAGTTTTTCTGCTTGGTGATAAAAAGATCTGACTTTCGATTTTCAACAGAAAAATTAAATAACGTTTGAGTTCTTTGAACCAAGAAATTTTTATGATTGACTTTTTCCGTTAAGTTATCCTATTTAGAGAAAACTAGATCAATTGATAATTTCGCTCGGATCACACATTTTATTGACATTAAAGCTTTGCTCTTTCATAGTGGAGCTCGCTCTTTTCAATGGGAAAATGAGCTGAACTTCAAAAGAAATCGAAAGTCAAACCGCGGAAATTCAAATTGGAGCGCGAACAAATAAAGAGTCTTCACTACTTTCATCAAGACTAAATACAAAAAAAAAACGGAATGCTAAAACGATATCAGCTAGACTTGTAGAAAAAACTATAATTATGAATGAGAAGTCGAAAACTATTTTTAAAAGAAACACAAAAAATGATCATTTTATTTAAAATTAGGATATAGAAAAAAGGAATTAGAATATATTTTATAAAATAAATTAAGATATGTACAAGGAAAACCGCCGAAAATGATCTTGCAGAATGATAAACTCTTACACAATACAGTCTAGAAAGCAATGAAACAACTCAAACACATGCAATTGTTGACAAAAAATAATAATTTGAAAAATGACTAAAAAGCTTAAACTCAGTATATGCTCAATTTCGAAACAAATATAATCGCTCAACAAATAAAAAATACTTCAATTGCACATTACTTTTGTAAACCGAACGGAACAACTTAAAAATTCAGATATACACAAAGAGGAAGCGGAGCTTCGCGCCACTTGCGATACAACACAAATGTAAAACGTAAGAAAAAGAATTTAAAATGTTTAAAAACAAGGTCCAACAAGACTCAACAGAAGTAACTTTCTGAAGACTTTGTAGAAGTTCATTTTATAGACATTTGAATATCGAATTAGCAGCAGAACGAAACTTACGAAGAGGAAAAAAGCCGACAATCTTTGAGCAGACACAAGTGAAACCGAAGAACAGTTAATAAATTAAGAAAAATCAAAATTTTTCAAGTCCGACTGAACCTACATTGAACAACACTTGCACAATAATTTTTGTGAGTTATGATTGAGGAGTTGTGAAAAAATTACAACTACGGGAGTCAAACCTCAGTCCTCTGACATCTAATAACTAAAGTCGACTGCCGTTCAGACCAGTGACATAGAAACCAACGTTTATTTACGAATTGGGTTGGAAAAAAGTAGAGTTCCTATTTTTATATTAAAACAAAGAGGCGAAGAGGAGCTTCCACGACTTTCGATACAACACAATCATAAAAAAGCATGTCAAAAAATGAAAAAATTTGAAAGACACCTAGGGCCCGGCTAAAGCTGGAGTAGCGTACTTGATATTGAAAGAATTTGCGATAAGGATGCGGCACGAAAAGGGTGAAAAAATTTTGAGATTATCAGTTTTCCCAGTAAGATATCTTTCTCTTATAAAAAATTAAGAAGTCGCGGCTTCAGCAAGATCAATTATTGCAACCGGTTCCAATTGAACTTTTCATCTCAGATTTGAATTTGTCAATTTCAAGAAAAATCAAACGTTTCGAAAACTGGTTAAAGAAATTCCAAACCCATAACTTTTTAAAGAAAACTACCAAAACCGAGTTTCTCGATTGAACACAACATGTTCTTGACATTTCTGAGAATCATAGCTTTCCGAGTAAAAAACAATAGGGCAAAGCCGCGTAAGCAGGAGGGATTTACGCAAACTGTGATTTCGATTGAGCCCAAGATCTCAGATCTGGGAGTGTAGTTCTCGAAATTTTCAAAAAAAAACAACCAAAAATTTCTACCTTTCCTAAGGCAATAACTTTATGTGTACAAATTTTTGTGGGTGCCGCTAACTCAAGGGACCTTCTTAGTACCCATTATCTCCATTAAACCCTAAATATCTGATTTTGAGAAAAAGTAAAATTTTCCAATGAAACTTGGAAAAAAATTTTCATAACGAAAACAAAGAGATTTAAAAAAAGCGATTGTGAAACATACAACCAACTTGGAAAGTGTGGAGGGGAGTGTTAAAAATGTGTTTTCCTCGAAACGATCCAAAATTAGGTCATTAAGCCGATAAAAATTAGGCAGAAATAAATTTGGCCAAGAAAATTTTTTAAGCAAAATAAACACAGAGGCGAAGCTTCGCTTCGCAAACACTATCGAGAACACGACAAAAAAATAGCTCTATTAAGTGCAATTAAATTAGAAGTAAGCCTTGAAATAGCAAAAAAAAATCGGCCATGTCTGATATTCGAACTTCCGACCTAGAGATTAAGAGTCTCACACCCTAACCACTCAGCCACGGAACCTTAATAGGTGATAGCCAAACACTAGTCTCAAATAAAGCAGAGAACAGATGCTATGCAATTTCCAATGCTACAGTGAAATTTCCGAATAAGTGAACACTTTTTAGGAACACTTATATTTGCTAGTTAGGTTAGAAAAAAAAGGTTCGTAACAGAACACTAATCTGACGCTAGAATTTAAAAAAAACTAAAAAGGAAATGCGTAATCAAGATAAGTTAAATTACAAATTGTAGGAAAAAATCAAACACTAAAAAAACGCGCAGCAAAAAAAAACGATTCCAAGAAGTGACAACTAAGCCGACAAAACATAAGCAGACAAATAAGAAGTCGACAATTCAATTTTTTTGAGACGGAATACTTCCCGTTTGTAAAAAAAAAGTACAGGTCCTGACAATTTCGAAACCAGGACCATTGCCATCCCAGGCATATTCGGTTCCCTCTAGGCTAAATTGGTCGGGAACGCTAAAAAAATTGAATATATGAAACAAGGTACCACTAGAGATGAGTCCAGACAAGTCCTGTGAAAGTTATTTACGGGGAAAAAGTCTGGTACCCGATTGCAACACCCTTGTTTATCGCAAGGGTAATAAATGAAGACAATGAGCCACATTCCGTTTGAAAACAAACCGAAAAGTCCATTTTTTTTAAACAAGAGGACCTGTGAGGTAGACTTTGATTTCAAAAAAAACTTCTTTTAAAGAATTTTATTTAACTCAAATAAAATCACTGAAAATTGAAAAAAAAATCCCATATTATTAGAGCCGACATCCAAAAAACTACCAAAAAGGCAAAAAAAAATTACTTTGTAATAACGCTTCCCGTAACAGAAACCGTAGCGCCTTCAAAGAATCCAGTATATACGATCTCTACATAGACAGAGCATATTAGCAAATAAACTATTTCTAATTCTGTCAACTAAGTTATTTACGGCGAAAAAGTTTAGAACCTGTAGGCAACATACCTGCTTACTGCAAGAGCAACAATTTTAACAAAGCAGCTTTGCTTCCAATAAAAAAAACAATTACTTGCCTGGATATCCTTCTCGGCCTGTATGTGATTAACTTCGCGTGCTAACACTTGGGTCTTCACTTCAAAATCTTCCTTGATAACTTTTGTTTCGCAGTTCCGTTTCATGGCATTTTCTAAATAAACCAAAAAGGTTGACCAACAGGTGCGATAAACTTATGATCCGAAAATTCAGAGCGGTTGAGAATAAAATATATATTTGAAAAATAGGTGGTTGATGTGCAAATAGCTCAGAGTCTGACAACCAAATAATTTCAAATAAATGTATAATTTCTTGGGTAAGAGTGATCTTAAGCATTCGGGACAGAATAATAGTAGTCTCAACAATACGTAGAAACAAATATAAGCACCGAGGCGAAACTGCGCTTCGCAAACACTTGCGAGAACGCGAAAAAGCAGCTTTATAAAGAGAAAAAAGAAAAAATAGATATAAGCCTCGAGTTAGCGATACTTTGAAGCGAATCGGGTTCGATCATTCGACCTCGAGATTTGGAGTCTCATGCTCTGCCCGCTCACCCAATAACTCTTAAAAATCCACAAACACTAGTCACGAATAAAGCAGCTACATATACTAATACATTGCCAATGCTATACACCAAAAAAGGCAACAAACATAAATCGACAATGTGGCATGTAATAATTTGGAGCATAACAAACTGAAGGCATCCACGCTAACTTTGCATGTAATAAACCCGAAAGCATAAGGCCAGATTATGTATAAATTAGGCATTTCAAAATTTGTGAGATAATTTGATTTGAAAAATTTTAAAATCGCGTTTTCATTATAGTACAGATTGAAGCAAATAGCTTTTTTCGCTTCATTTTAACTATGAGAACTGCATCAGTTGTGTTAACTTATAACTAATTGAATGTCAAAGCACAAGCTATCAAAAAGGTAAAGGTGCCCCAAAATTGGCACCAAAATTTGCGACTTAGGTTAGAAAAAAAGAAGCCGTACTATAACGCTGACTCACTAAAAATCGCAAGTGTAAGCACAGAGGCGAAGTGGAACTTCACATCACAGCCAAAAAAAATGATCCGGAAGCCTAAAACAAAATACATTTGGAAAAAAGTGATAGGAAACTTCTTTCAGATCAAGATTTGTCTCGAATGAAATTTATTTAAAGAAACATCAAGAATGACAATTTGCAGCCTTAACCTAGTACTATAGCAAAACTCACAGAGCGGTAACTAAGCCTAGAATATTTGAACAAACGACCGTTGCGGTGAAAAACGATAGCCTTCAGCCTAAATAAAGTAAAACCTATGAGGCTACTAAGCCAATATAATTTACGCCGAAATAATTTCGACCTAAAAATATTTATGTTCATTGAATACTTACAACAGAAAAATGGCGCAAATAGGAGTTGGTCATTTAATAACCAAGATAGTTAACCTTTTCAATTTGCTCCACATGCGAAAAATATGTGGAGCAAATATAGAAAAATACACACAGAGGCGAAGCGGAGCTTCGCACCACTTGCGATACAATACCAACACAAGCAACTGCGATACAACACAAACATTTAAAAAAACATGTCGAAAAACTTTTTTTAATGTTCAAAAACACTAGGTGAACCAAAACTTTCTTATGTCTCAATAAAATACAATTAGGGCCCATTTAAAGCTGGAGGTACAAGTTTAGTATTGAATGAATTTGCTACACTGATCCGGCCTGAAAAAAATTCAAAACTTGGACTGTGCTCAAAACCTTAGTTGGTTCTCTACAAAAATAAGAAAGAATAAAAAAGTTTATAAATAATCAATTCTCTCAAGAAGATAACATTTCTTTTACAAAAATTTAAGGAACCACCGCTTATGCAAGAACAATTATCGCAACCAGTTCTTTCGATAAAGCTTTTCATCTCAGATTTGATTGTGTAAGTTTTAAGAAAATTCAAAATTTCTAAGAAACGGTCAAAAGTTCTAATTAAAAGTCAAAAGTTCTAAATAACCATCAAAAGGCCCTCCAAAACCCGAAAAAAATCTCCAAAAAGCAGGTTGAAGCCGCTTAATCAGAGAAGATTCCCAAAATCGGGTGTTTCGGTTGAATACAACCTGAGAAATGGCACGGTGTTCAAAAAGTTTCCAAAAAACTGTCTAAGCTTCAAAACATTGACTTGTTTGGAGGCCTTTCCTTTTTTCATTAACAAAATGGGCGTAGTCAATTTTGAAGGTTGATTCGATTAAACCTGTTGGTAATAAGCTGTTGATTCGATTAAACCTATGATATCAGTTTGGCAGGATAGTTATCGAGAAAAGGCCAAAAAACGGTCAATAAATCAAAAATTTGACATTTCCGAGAATCACAGCTTTCGGTGTGAAAAAAGAAGGGCTTGGCCGCTTAAGTAGAAGAGCTTTACGCAACCTGTAACTTCAATTGAACCCAAAACTTCCAATTTGGGAGGGTAATTTTTGAGCAAAGTCAAAGTTTTGAAAAACGGTCAAAAAATCAAGATTTTCGCTTTTCCGAGGGCCATAACGATTAGTGTCAGTAAAAATTTGGGCGTAGTCGCGTAAACAAAGAAGCTTCCCGTTGCCTGTTCTTTGAATTGAACCCAAAACATCAGATATGGCAAGGTAGTTTTCGGTAAAATTCAAAAAGTTTAAAAAACGGCTAAAAATCAAATATTTGACTTTTCTCAGGGCGATTACATTTTCTGTTAAAAAATGTTTGTGCGTGGCCGCTAATGCCGGGAAGCTTCTTCAACCCATTATCTCTATTTAACCACAATATCAGATTTGAAAGGTTAGTTTCCGAGAAAAGTCAAAAAGATTCACAAAACGACCAAACATCAGATTTGACTATTTCAAGGGCCATAATTTTTTTAAATGGGTGTAATCGGTGTAGTTTTTGAGAAAACGAAAAAACCAAAAATATGGGTCAAATATTCCCCATAGACTTTTTCAAAGGCTGTAGACAGCGGGATCAAGTGAAAAAAGTCTAAGGGAGTATGCAGGCACACATTTTTGAAAATCAGTAAAATTTCTGATAAAAGCTAGAAATTTTCCCTTAAATTTGGAAAAAATTTCCATAATGGAAAAAAAAAGAAATTTCATCAAACCGATTGGTGAGCATATAACCAATTTTAAAAGTGCGGAGAGGAGTGCTAAAAATGCGTTTCCCTTGATACGACCCAGAATAGGGTCATTAAGCCGACAAAAAATAGGCTGAAATAAATTGTGCCGAGGAACTTTTTAAGCGAAACAAAAAAAAACAAGCAAATACAAAATCAAGGCAAGTAAAATTAGAAAGTGTTAGAGTAAATCAAACACTAAAAGCAATCTTAAAAATGCGCGCAGCAAAAAAAAACTATTTCAAGATATGACAACTAAGCCGGCAACAGATAAGCAGACAAATAATTGGTCGACAATTTTATTTGAAGCATATTTCCCGTTTGAAAAAAAACTGGTCCGGGTCAGATTGAAACCCAGGACCTTTGCAGTCGCAGGCATATTCCTTACCTCCAGGCTAATGTGGCCGGAAACGCATAAGTTTAAATTCATTATGAACCAAGATACAAGTGATTCCGTAAAACAATGTTAACCCGAAAAAAATATATATTCCGGTTTGATAACGCTTGCTAATTGCAGGCGTAAACATGCTCGATGTTTCAAGAGACAGATGTTATTAACCTGTGACGCCTTATTTATTGATCCCCGAGAACGCCTTTTTTATATAGTTCCAGATAAATCCATATAAGGCTTCTGAGACTTCTGCGAGGACAAATTGTTGGCAGTGCCGCATCAACACGAGTTGTTCATTGGCAACTCATTTAGAAAGAAGAAAGAAGTTCATTTCTCTGATTCAAAAATATAACTCAATTAACAACTCACTTCTACTGTTTATTAGCAACTCATTATACTGCAACAAAAAAAAACAAGTATTCTCAAGTCTAAGTTCAAAAGACTCATCGGAACCAATTATAATTGAGCGTTCATGTTGAATTTTTGTCTAGATCAAATTCCATCTATGGTCACAAAATCTCTGTCATAATTTATTTGCAAAAGATACCTCAAAAATTAGTCATCAGACTCAGAGAGAACAATTACACAAACCAATTCGCGTTCGCTTTTTCTCCAGAAAGACGAAAACTGATTGAAAACACATGCAAGATTAAAATAAAATGGTCGAAGAAAAAAGAAACAGCGTGAACTCCTTGAGGCAAGTTCAAAGTCCACTGGACATTATGGACTTCCTTGAACGAAACGTGATCGGTGCAACTGCCCCGACATACGGTCCCTTCGGCACCCGACAAATAACGTACGCGGATTTCACAGCGTCAGGCCGATCACTCCGTTGCATTGAAGACTACATCCAGTTTGAAGTGCTTCCCTGGTACGGGAACACTCACACTGAGTCATCTTTCTGCGGACTCCAGACGACAATCCTTCGCGAGGAAGCACGAGACACAATTCGAATGTCATGCAACGCACCAAAAGATGAATACGCGGTGATTTTCACAGGCAGTGGGTGCACTGCAGCAATGCACAAAATGATCAACGTCCTTGGCATCAGCGAAAACAATCCGGCCATTGTGTTCATTGGACCTTTTGAACACCACAGCAATGTTTTACCATGGCGTGAGAACAAGCACGTTGAGCTCATCAGAATCAATTTCAATAAATTCGGCGAATTTGACGGAGATCAATTGGAAAACTATTTGCAGAAATACAAATCAGATCCGAGAAGGAAAATCGGTTCCTTTGCCAAATCGAGTAACGTCACAGGGGTGTTGACAGATTGTCACAGAGTTGGTACTTTGATGCACAAACACGGAGGAATTGTGATGTGGGATTATGCTACAGGAGGACCTCACCTGAAAATTGACGTCAAGGGAGAAGACAAGGGATACAAAGACGCCGTGTTCATTTCTGTTCACAAATTCCTCGGAGGCCCCCAGACACCAGGACTTCTGATTGTTCGCAAGTCACTGTTCGAAAACATAGTTCCACACAATTGCGGTGGTGGATCTGTGCTCTATGTATCGAGAACTAAACAAAGATACTTGGACAATATTGAAGCCAGAGAAGAAAGCGGAACACCTCCCATCGTGCAGTGCATTCGCGCAGGACTGGTCTTCAAAGTAAAAGAGTACATTGATTCAACAGTAGTTGAAGACCGCGAAACGTTCCTCGCAAATAAAGCTATGGATAGGTTCAAAAATATTCCAGGCTTTCATTTATTGGGAAGCTACTTCCTACAGCGAGTGCCAGTGTTCTCGTTCCTCGTATTCCACGAACACTCGGGTCTATACTTGCACCACAACTTCATTACACAAATTTTAAACGATCTTTTTGGTCTACAGTGTCGTAGTGGGTGCGCATGTGCCGGACCTTACGCCATTGACCTGCTGGGAATGGACGAGGAGGTGGAGGAGAGATTCGTGAAAGCGTTCGACAAAGACACTTCCAAAGTCGAATCCATCAAACCTGGATTCTGTCGATTCAGCTTGGCCTTCTACAGCTCAGACCAGGAAAGTGACTTCATTCTTGATGTCGTGGAATTTGCATGCAAATTCGGAATTTACCTGCTGCCATTCTACCACTTAGATGTTAAGAGCGGAGTCTGGAGTCATGTACAGTCAAACAAACATGTGCAGAAATTCCGTCACTTGGACGAGTTTAGATGTACACACAACCTAAGTGATGAGCTAGAACACCCTTCACTGAGCTCGAAACAATTCAGTCGTTTAAAGTTCAAAACATACAACAGATACCTCCAAGAGGCACGGCAACTAGTGGACAAAATAATCAGCGGAGAAGAGACGCTACCGACGAGAAGCAACAATGTCCAATTAGGAGGTGGATACGATGAACCCATTTCGTGGTTCATGACCCAAAAAGAAGCCTTGAAATGGGTGACTAGTCCAACAATGGCCAAAATGCAGAGCAGCGGCCTCTACCCATTATTCCGTGTCACTACATTTTTAGACCCGACAGCAGGGAGGAAAGAAAAACGAGGAAGCCCCAAAATACACAATATCGAGGGAAAAAAGATACTCCCACGCCGTCCGATCAATTTCCAAACTATCGAAGATGAACACAAGTCATCGGCAGCCAATAACAGTTCATCTGACAATTGTACCATCTGCACTCCTTCAAACGAGCACGCAGAGTCCAAAATCAGTTCCTCAAAAAGTGACAGTGTCGATAGCCGAAAAGGCATTGTGAAGACTCACACTCTACGCCAGAGACAAGATCTCTCAAAACAGAAACTGGTGATTGAAGCATCCCAAGCCGGCAGCACAACCATCAACATCAACATATCAACATTGACTGCAGATAGGTCTGACCACGTCCTCAGACGCAAATACGGGGAATCGAAACCCAGAACTGGACTGCCTTTCTCAAGGCACCTTATAAGCGACTTGAAAACAATGTCTGTCTCCAAACCGGAGAAATATCGCGAACATCTAATTTAGATTCAACAGCATAGAAGGGTCCATCCCTTTGTTATAGTATTTTTTGCTCATTTTATTTTGATTGTTAGCAACACCAAATCAAACAGTTTTTTTTATCTATTAGTTTTTGTGGTATTTCAAGAAATTTTGCGGTCCTTTTGTCTATATGATCTTAGTTTTAAAAAGTAGACAAATAAATTTTGCTCATGGCACCCGACAGGCTGATGCCTTTTTGGTATTCTCCCAAGCCGAACTTAATTGTAAACGTACATTTTCATAGAATGTATGGTTATAAGTTTTGGCTTGAAAATAAAAGTATTATTATTATAGCACTGGCAGAACTCTTATGGCAATTAGTCAAATACAGGCTCATGCACATCAAAATGAAAATTATGAATAAATACTTTGTAGCATGTTGTATTTCAAAAACGGCGATGGTTTTTTTTACCGTATCTCGCTCCCAACATCGAATCCGATGAAAAACATCGATCAAGTCTAATAGCTATGAAAACACGAGTAAACATATTTGGTCTTCACACCATTACCATGAAACACACTGACAAAAGAGATATTCTTCGATTTAAGTCCTCTATACGGTTGGATATTCTTAGAGAGGCGAAGCGGAGCTTCGCACCATTTGCGGTATAACTAAAACATTAAAAAAACATACGAAAAAATTTTTAAATGTTGAAAAAAAAACTAGGTGAACTTAAATTTCCGCATGTCTCGATAAAAAACAACCAACTGGAATACTTGAGGTACGTGTTTGATAGTGAACGAATTTGCTATAATGATTCTGCACGAAAAATGTGATTTAAAAAATTGGACTTTGACCAAAACCTTAGGTGTTTCTCTACTAAAATAAGAGAAAACAGTAAGAAATTTTGAGATAATCAATTTTCCCAAAGAGATAAGTTTCTCTTACAAAAAACTAAAAAACCACCGCTTCTACAGAAACAATTATCGCAACCCGTTCATTCAATGGAACTTTTCATCTCAGATTTCTTTGTGTAAATATAAGAAAATTCAAAAAGTTTCCAAAAAACGGTCGAAAGTTCTGAAAAAACGAAACTATCCAAAATCCAAAACATTTTTCTTCAAACAGCAGGTTATGGCCACCTAAACAGAGAAGATTTCCAAATTCGGGTTTCTCGATTGAACACAACCTGAGAATTGGACCGGTAGTTTTCGCGTAAAGTCAATAAGTTTCTAAAAAACTGTCACAGATTCAAAACTTGGACTTGTTCGGAGGCCATTACTTTTTTCTTAAACAAACTGGGCATAGCCAGTTATAAAGGTAGGCTTTTAACAATCTGTTCATTCGATTGAAGCTAAAATATCAGATTTGGCAGGATAGTTAGCGAGAAAAGTTCAAAAAAACTGTCAACAGATCAAAAAAATGACAATTCCGAGAATCATAACTTTTTGAGTGAGAAAAATATGCAGAAAGATTATGCAATAAGGATTCACGCAACCTGTTATTTCGATTAATCTCAAAATCTTAGATTTGGGAGGTTAATTTTAGCGAAAAGTCAAAAACTTTCAAAAAAAATTCTTTACTGTTCTGAAGGCCAAAACTTTTGGAGTCAAAAAAATTGGGGGCGTATTCGCATAAAAACAAAAAATTGAATTTTTAGAGGGCGATAACTTCTTGCTTAAGACTTTTTGTTAGTGTCCACTAATGCAGAGGAGCTTTCCACTATCCTCCTTGACCCCACATTATCGGATTCGAGAGGTTAGTTTTCGAGAAAATTCGAAATGATTCACAAAACGGTCAAAAATCAAAATTTAACTATTCCGAGAGCCACAACTTTATGTGCAAAAAAAACAATTTGGTCGTGGCGACTTAAGCAGTGGAGTTTTTCAAATCGGTTCAATTCATTGAATCCAAAAACTCATATTTGAGAGAGGCAGTTTTTGAGAAAAAGAAAAAATTATAAATACTAGGTTTTGAGCAGTCATATTTGGAGGCAAAATTCGCAACCCCTGAGAGTACGCTGACAGCACCCAACTGCAGAGTGAGAATTTCAAAAATTAATAAAACTAGCGTTTAACGCACCTTCGGTGCTTCGAAGTTTTTCGACAGCTCATGAAAAACCGCATATCTTGGAAAAAAACATCTGCAAACTTTTAGTGTACTCTGACTGCACCCAATTACAGGGTTGGTAATTTCGAACTTTTAAATTTTCTTTTTATTACCATTTTGAAAGCGTCATTTCGAAAACTTAATGGGCCTCTGGACAACTTTGGAGGCCAGATTTGCAACCACTGAGTCCCTGAGAGCACCCTACCATAGGGTAAGGAATGCAAAATTTTGTGAATTTTTTGAAAATAAGTTTCCCGAAAAAAAATTTGAAAAAAAAACGTCTTATCTCGAAAACTAAAAAGATTTGAGCATTCATATTAAAAGGCAAGATTTGAGACGCCTGGGTGTACGCTGACAATAAGGTTGCATCTGCATCAAAACAGTAGTTTCAAACTTTTTTGAATTTCTTTGTAGATAAGTTTTTTGAGAAACTTTGAAAAAAATCAAAAAAACGTCATATCTCGGAAAACTAAAAGCATTTGAGCAGTCGCGTTTAACAGTCGTATGTGGCAAGATTTGCAACTCTTTAGAGTACCCTGACAACACCGAACTATAGCGTTGGAAAATTCAAATTGTGAAAACTAATTAATATAAACTTTCTGAATTTTTGAAAAAATCACAAAAAACGTCAGCTCTCGAAAACTACAAAGAATTGAGCAACCATAATTGGAGGCAAGATTCGCAATCCTTGAGAGTACTCTGACAGGACCTAACTACAGGGTTGGGAATTTCATACTTTGAAGAAAAATAATTTAAGTTTTCTGAAAACTTTTGAAAAAATCACAAACGTCATATCTCGAAAACTACAAAGAATTGAGCAGTCAAACTTGGAGGCGAGATTTGCAATCTTTGAGAGTACTCCGACAGGACCTAACTACAGGGTAAGGAATTTCAGATTTTGCAAAAAAAATAACATAAGTTTTCTGAAAACTTTTTGAAAAAATCAAAAAACGTCATATCTCAAAAAATACAATGATTTGAACAGTCGTATTTGGTGGCAACGCTTGTAACTCCTTAGAGTACTCTGACGGCACCCAACTACACGGTTGGGATTTTTAAATTTTGAGAAAGAATTAATTAAAATTTTCTGCAAATTTTTGAAAAAACCACAAAAAAGATCAAATCTCGAAAACTAAAAGGATTTGAGCAGTCATATTTGGAGGCGAGATTCGCGATCCTTGATAGTACTCTGACAGTACCCAACTACAGTGTTGGAAATTTCAGATTTATAGAAAAATAATCTTAACTTAAGTTTTCTGAAAATTTTTTGAAAAAATCAAAAAACGTCATATCTCAAAAAATACAATGATTTGAACAGTCGTATTTGGTGGCAACGCTTGTAACTCCTTAGAGTACTCTGACGGCACCCAACTACAAGGTTGGGATTTTTAAATTTTGAGAAAGAATTAATTAAAATTTTCTGCAAATTTTTGAAAAAACCACAAAAAAGATCAAATCTCGAAAACTAAAAGGATTTGAGCAGTCATATTTGGAGGCGAGATTCGCGATCCTTGATAGTACTCTGACAGTACCCAACTACAGTGTTGGAAATTTCAGATTTATAGAAAAATAATCTTAACTTAAGTTTTCTGAAAATTTTTGAAAAAAATCACAAAAAACGTCATATCTCGAAAACTACAAAGAATTGAGCAGTCATATTTGGAGGCAAGATTTGCAAACTTTGAGATTACTCTGACATGACCCAACTACAGGGTTGGGAAAATCAGATTTTGCGAAAAAAATTAATAATTTTTCTGAAAATTTATGGAAAAAATCACAAAAAACGTCATATCTCGATAACCACAATAAATTGAACAGTCATATTTGGAGGCAAGATTTGTAACTCCTTAGAGTACTCTGACAGCACCCAACTACACGGTTGGGAACTTCAAGTTTTGTAAATTATTTTGTTATTTGAAATTTCTGAAAACGTTTGAAAAAACTCAAAAATCGTCTTATCTCGTTAATTAAAATGATTCGGGCATTCAAAATTGGAGGCCAAATTCGCAACCCCTTATTCGATATTCGACTGCTTAATTTAAACTCGGTAAAATAACACTTAAAATCAAATTGGAAAATCGAAAAAAAATTCTTAACCATTGCAATATACGATATAGCTTAAACATGCAAAAAATAATACGTTGAAAAAGCTTAAACATGGCGAGATAGTGAAGCCCGCATTTAAATATATAATAGATTTTAAGATAAAATTTTCTAGAAACTTTTGAAAATCTCGAAAATTGCTGTATTTTGTAAACTAAAAGGATTTGGTTATTAATATATGGAGGCCAGAATTGAAAAAGCTGGGAAAAACATGACAATATCCCACTATAGGGTTGCTAATTTCAAACTTCATGAAATAAACATGTCATATTTTTATCTTATATCTTATACGAATCCGAATCAATGAAAGGGCTCTAATTTCATACCACAAATGATTGTGAGCTCTAATTTCATACCCTGTGAGCTTTTTGTAAGATATACAAAATAGTGCGCAAAATCCTATCCTACGTTAAATTCTTTGTTGCCTGTGACAGCAGACTGAACAAAAATAAACAATCAACAATAAATATGCTACCAATTGCTTTCATCAGGTCGTCAGGAATATTATTTCCACAGAGTTCCAGTGACATCAGTGTTTGGTTGAAAGGAATAGCGGTCAAGAGAGCTCGTGCACCCAATATTCCAACGTTGTTCCATCGCAAATCTAAATGTCAAGCAATATTCAATAAATACTTTGCAAGAAAATAACCAACGTGCATAATGAAGCGCAGAGATGACGAATACCAAACTTTCCATTGATGATGAAAAATGATCAACAAAAGTTTGAAATGTACATACCTCAGATTTCCTGCATACAAAAACTTGACATTACATCGAATGGGTGCTACCTAACATTTAGCTAAGAATTGAATCCATTCAAACCTAAAGACTCCAAGCAATGGTTCTGTTTAATGACAGCACTGAGCTCTGTTGCGCCTTCATGAGAAACCTGGTTTGATCTAAGGTCAAGATGTTTCAAAACCCGATTGGCCGCCAGTCCTTGAGCCAAAACAGAAAATGAAGCATCCCACATCCCTAGTCCGTTCCATTCAAGCACTAGCCTAAATTAAAAGTCAAATTCAGAGTTAAAGAAACGGGAAAAATTCAAAGTAAGAGGCGAAGCTGCGCTTCGCACTACTTGCGATACAAAACCAAAAAGCCGCTAAGTCGGAAAAAAAATCAAAAATGTCCAAAAAAGTAGATCTATCAAAATGAATCAGGCTAATTTTGAAACAAGAACAGAACACGCCAGGACAATCGAATACGAAATTCGAATCGAAAGAAAATTTATCAAGCGGTAACAAAGCCGAAAATACCTTAGCAGAAATTCTTCAAGCCAAAATAAAAATCAACAAGACTTGAGACTAAAAAAACTGAGAAGTCAACCCTCCCCTAAAAACACCAACACGCACTTAAAAAATCTTTTCGCTCATCAAAAGACAATATGAGGCCATTAAGTCGATATAATTTTGGCCCGAAACCTATAAAACAGCCAATGTTGCTCTGAAAAAACTATTATTTCTATAAAAGTTTTAGCAATTTGTGCGATTCAGTGAGCATAAAAATTATGTTTTTTTTACCCTGACAGGACTCAAAAAGTCACTAAGCCGATAAAATCTGAGCAGAAATCATTTGGGCAAGAATAAAATTTAGAAGCGAAAAAAAATGTAGGAAGTCAAGAAGTTACTAACAGCAAAGTAAATGAAAACTCCACGAGTAAACAAACGTGAATAGCGTACCGCAAAAACAAAAATACGATGTGGCATCTCAGCCGACAAAACATAAACTGATAAATAATAAGCCGACATTTTTTTTGAAATGAAATATTTCCCGTTTGAAAAAAAGCAGGTCCTGTCAGTTTCGAAAATAGGACAATTGCCGTCCCATGCGTATTGGTTACCTCTGGGCCAAGTCTGGCGAAGATGCCAGTCTGATAAACTGATTCAATAGATTTGTTCAAATTTACCGCTTGTGTGTTTTCATATCATATGCGCGCTGGGCTTTCCTCTTCTGATTATCTAACCAAATCTCGCCGTCCCAGCCGTAGGCGAGTGAAGCTTCCCATGCGTATCTAGACGCAAGAAGGAGTGAGCAGGTGGAACTACCCTTCAACAACACCACAGGATGTACCGTTCCTATCTATCAATTTTTCGCTTTTTTTTCAATTTTTTTTGATTATTTTTTTAAACTCTCAGATTCAGATTTAAATTAAACTACTTGATTCATTGGCCATCCATTTCCCCAACTTTCTACGTAAGAGCTTCTCCGTTGCCTTCGCTGTCTGTGTTTCAGGTGGATGCCCGATTCCAGGCAAGGCGCATCCCTGACTTTTCACAGAAGATTATAATTGGCACATCAACGACAAAATATATCAAACCAGCTCTAGTAAAATCTACAATTCACTCTTGCCGCGGCGCCACACTCCAAAATCTGTATGAAACTGTTCCACAAAACAGACCAAAGCGCCTTAATACAGTTACCATAATTGCCGGGTTTAATGATAATAGGCTGGCCACAAGAAGTTGAGCAAAAGTGGAAAAACTTCATCAACCTAATTAGAAACAAGTTCCAGCTCAAAACCCTGATTATCTCCAAAACAATCCAAAGCTCCAATAACAATGATGTTAACCGTAAACTCTACATTTATAACTATGTGCTGTTTAACTTAATCAAAAAAAATTGTTCATCCAAACACACTTATTGTTTCGCCTAATCTTAACTTAAATCTAACCCCTCAAATGTTCTGCCGAGAAGGCATCCACTTCTCGTTCTTTGGTAATGAATTCTTTACAAATTTTCTTGCTTATATTATTTATTAATTCTTTTGATACCGTTCCTCCTCAAATAATGTCCAATCAAACACATTGTATCATATGTAACAACCACCTACGCGGCCGTGGAATATGGTGCACAACATGCGCAGCCTATATGCATGTAAAATGCAGCGGCCTTAACCGAGCCAGCGACCACAATTAAAAATTGCAGCTGCATTCGCTGCACCTCCCTGATTACAGACAACACTACAACTGACATTCAAGCCCCTCCAACTCAACCTCAACACGCTCCTTCGACGAACGATCAAAATCCTGCCATTGCAAACAGCAACGAAACTATAGCAGCCACACCCGACCCCTGGTCAAATCCCACACCTGAACTAAAAGATAAAATAAGAACAATCTACAGCCAAGTAGTGTACTGGAAACCAGTCTTCATGATCCTCGCAAAAAAATAAAATTGGGTTTAACTTTATAGAAACTCTAAATAGAACCCTCAACTCGTTAATTGAAACACAAGAAAACACATACGCAATGCACGCAACAATTATATTCCCTCACCTCATGCTATATAAAAAAAAATCGGAGAGTGATGGTTCGAACTCCAAAACTATAGCAAGAAGGTTTGAGCAATGGCAAAAGGGCGAACTGGACGAACTTTTTAATGAGGGAAAAGCGCTGCAAAAGAGTAAAAAAAAGAAAGTCGAAACTGAAGCACAGAAATTTAATAAATTAATGAACACCGGAAAATATCGAGTGCTATTGCTAAATTAACTGATACCTCCGAGGGAGTTCTTTCACTCGAGGAAACCGTCAAAGGTCAAACTGTTGAGCAAATCCTCATCGAGAAACACCCTCCCACTGAGCCAGTAAGCAGCAACTATATAACATCTTGCTCGGAAGATACAAACCCTTTCCACTCATCCACGTTCGACCAAAAAAAAACTCCCAGAAAATTAGGAAGGCTGCCATGACAACACATGGTTCTCATGGACCCTCAGGTCTGGATGCAAATGAGTGGAGACGCATACTGACGCACTTTGGTCAACAGTCAGTTGAAATATCAAAGACACTAGCCAAAATAGCACAGGCAATATCGACAGAAATACTAAGTCATGAGCTTCTTGAACCATATACTGCCTGTCGACTAATTCCACTTGATAATAATCCAGGAGTTAGGCCAATTGGCACGGGCGAAGTCAACCGCAGAATAATAGGTAGAACGATCACAAAGTGCTTAAAAAGCGAACTTATGGTACTCGGATCGAATTTCTAACTATGCCTTGCCAAAAATGTGGCATCCAATATGCAATTCATACGCTTAGGACGCAATATGAGAAAACAGATTCCGATGCAATAGTACTGATGGACGCGCAAAATGCATTTAACTCCCTAAACCGGATGCTGGCTTTAAAAAACATTGCAAATATATGCCCTTCGATACTACCAGCAATACAGAACTCATACTGTAATCCATCCAAACTCTTCGTAAATAAAAAAGTAATCCTGTCTAGAGAAGGAACTACACAAGGAGACCCATTAGCAATGGCATTGTACGGGCTAGCCACTTTATCTTTAATAAAACTAGTCAACGATAACAGCCTAACACAGAAATGATATTCAGACGATGGGAACGCAGTCGATAAGTTAAAAAGGCTGCGAAGAGTTCTTGACAACATTATCAAACACGGGAAATATTTTAGATATGTAAAGGCATCGAAATGCCGGCTCATTGTAAAAAGATGAAAAATACAATGTGGCGATAAAAGTATCCAAAAATACCGAAATTGAAATGAAGAAAGGGGCCAGAGTACTTAGTTCTGTCATAGGATCCGAGACTGAATGTAAAACTTTCTTAGAAACTCAGTTAGAAGAACATAATAAAATACTGGAAAAACTTGGCAAGATCGCAAAAACATTACAAAACGTGTACTCCTGTTACACCAAAGGGGTATAAGGAAAATTATCGTTTTCAGCTAGAACTACCCCCAATACCACAGAAAACATGCAGGCCTGCGAGAAGATACTGCAGGAAAATCTGATTCCAAATTTAATTCGTAAAGATAATATCAGCCATCAATTCAGAGACATCGCTTCTTTGTCTCTGAAAATGGGTGGTCTGAAAAATCAAGCTATATGAGAACTCTTTAGAATGGTCAATCTAAACAACGTCAGTCCTAGACACTTACGACCCATTAACAGCTATACCTGAGCAAGAAAAAATCTATACAAAAATTAAAACACTTAAAACTGAGAGAACAAACCAAAAGAGAACTAACATTTTGAACAACTTGAGCGACAATAAAAAATACGCACTTGAGTTGGCCTCCGAAAAAGGAGCCTCAAATTGGTTAAATGCACTGCCTCTCCAGATTTTAACCAGAATAAATCCGAATTCCGGGATGGAATTTATCTCAGATATGGATGGGAACCAACCAACATTCCACTCACATGTGCATGTGGTCAATCTTTCGACCTTACCCACGACCTTCACTGTGCAAAGGGTGGATACACCCACACGAGGCATAACGAAATTAGAGATAGCTTTGCCACCCTCGTGAGCGAGGTTTGCTTTAATGTTGAAATCGAGCCGAAACTTCAGTCGTTGCAAGGCGAGAGCTTTGTCAACGATTCAACCACAACTGATGAAGACGCTCGACTAGATTTAAAAGCAAAAGGATTATGAGGCTCAAGGTTTAGCCGAACCTTCTTTGATGTCAAAGTCTTTAACCAGCACGCAAAAACTTCACGAAGACTACTGAAAGACGCCTATAAGTACCACGAATCACTAAAAAACTCAAAATACCAACAGACAGTTCTTCAAGTCGAACAGAGCAGCTTCTGCCCGCTCATTTTTGGCTGCACTGGTGGTGCCGCACCAGTAGCTACTCGGAGAATGCAGCGGATAGCTGAAAAACTTAGTGAAAAAAGGTATGAGAGCTACGCAGAAACAAAAAACTATATAAGAACTAAGATAAGCTTCGCGCTGCTCAGGAGCGCTATCCTTTGTATACGGGGTTGCAGATCACTACGTAAGACGCAATTCATAGACAATTCAATTAGTGCTATTGTTGTGCCATTCTGCCAGATGACACAGCATAACCTTCCCGCGACGGAAATAAAAGTGACTAAAGGCCTTACGAACAAAAAAATGTTGCGACGGAGGGTCAGAATGTTCTGGAATTTTTAATTTTAAAATTTCGATTTGAAGGAGAACATTTCTGAGAAATAGAAAAAAGACGGCCATTTTGAATAAAATAGAGAAAAATAAGGACGACGCCATATTT